TATTTACAATCTATTTGAAAGTGCAAAACAAAATTACTGAAAATTAAGATATTTGTAATAATATTTAAGTCCATAAAATATTTTTTTTCATCAGTAGCAATAAATTTTTAGCAGAAAGGTTTTTAATGCCCAGGAAAATATCTCAATTTTGAAAAATGTTTTGTGCATATTGTGCTCTTCTGAAATGTAATTTTCTATCTTAACGCTGGCAATTTTAAGAACCTTGGTGTTTCTTAGTGGAATTCTTATGTATGCAATCCTGGTTTGTAAATTTTAAAAAGTTACATTGTAAACATGTTATTCTATATATCATTCAGATATTACAGACCAGTCCTCTCTAAACTATGTAAATGTTTTATAGCAACGTGTTCAGATTCTATTTCTTCAGAGGTCAGACTATGAGGATGGAAGAATACAACCTACAGTTGGGACTTATGTGGATTTCTCAACACCTTCCCCATACCCCATGCTCCAAATCAAGGTGCTGTGTCAAACACCATTCAATTATATCACCGCAGGTGTATCCAAGTCAATCCCATCTGCAGCACATCTCAGACTGTGAGCAGTCTGGGAAGGAATGTCAGGGGCTTGAAGCTTCTCTTGCCAATAGTATTTCTACTAAGCTCTTCATGTGAATCTGATGATGGCACAGCTGGAAATGAAATAGGGTGATTACAAATGGGATTCCTAAGCTACAGCGGGCCAGTGTATTGCAAGACAAATCACTTTTCTTGTTGTATGGTTGGTAAGTTGGATGCAGCCCCCAAGGGGTCTCTGGATGTGTCTTTGCTTGTTCTGTAGAATTCTCTAGTGGCAAAACAGTCAGTAGTAGCATATACGGCATTTTTGAAAGATTGTGGACTGGAGACAAATCCTTACTCTGGGCACTTTAGAGGTCTATGGCCTGCGCGGTTCTAATCTGTGTGACATCTGTGATAAAGTTCTCTGGTTGTCAATCACATTTAGTTGCCGTACATAACTCCGGACATCCTGATGGTTCTTATTAGCTTGAGCTGCATCAGGGTCTGTTGAAAGAATAGATGGTAGAGTTGGCATTGCATACATATGCATATATGTTGCATTTTTCTTTTCCTCATTGACTCTTCATATTTACCACAGATTCCTGGGTTCTGTCAAGACCTTTCCACATACCACATTCATTAAAATATTTCTATTCAGTTGGTCCATCTCCCTTCTACCCTCCAATTTTATTTTATTTTTTTTTACTGGAATCATCTCTTGATCATTTTCTTTTGCATTACATACTGTAAAAAATAAAATTAAAAAAGGCAGCAAATAAAAAGAGAAGCATCTGTCTGATGGCCCTGGTGACATGAAATTTGTTTAAATTTGTTTTTCCTTACGAGCCTACCTCTGTGTCTCACATTCTGCCTCCATTTCCTTTGATCCAGATGAGGACTAATGTCAAAAAAGATGTAGTTTCATTGGCAACTCACAGAAGTACTTAACACCCATACTGAACTGAAGCCAGACACTGGGCCATCAGGCTCTGATGGCCCCCTTTGCTTGCACACATACACAGTATACTCCATACTGTACACTCTTAGAAAGTGTCTGGATTCAGGGAAGAGGCCATTTTGTGGTTAAGTCATGACTTCTAGTAAACCTTTTCTTGTCTAATATGACTTGTTCTGAAAATCCAATAACCATACTATTCTGACCCATACCTCAAAGGTGTCAGCAACTGCGCTATCAAAAAAAGTAAGCAGGTTTCATTTAAACCAGGGCTCCAACAAGATCTAATGCCCATTGTCCTATATAGGCAATAATACATAAAAATGAGAAAGGCCAGATTCCACAGAATAGTAGTAAACTGGAAATGCAGGTTCCTTGGAAGTGGCTACTTAGCTCCTGAATCCCACTGCCATTCTGGAATCTGTGTCCAGAGTTGCCAGGTCTCTTCTTCCCTTCTTCCCCCTCCCTTTCTTCCTTCTTTCCTTTCCTCCTTCTTCCTTCCTGCCTTCTTTTCTTTCTTTCTGAAATAGGAAATCTGAACTTATTCCCTGTGAATTCTCTCAGCATTTAAATAGTGATTTATTTTCCAAATATAGGGAGAAGTGCTCTGTTTATACTGCAAACCTCTGCTGAAGTTTATGGGCCAGCCGTGTCCCACCATCACTGGTATGAAACCTGTGCTTTAGTAGGACACATGAGTGATCAAGCAGGTGTCTGGACTCTGGACCAGGGTTCTTCCCACCCCGGCACTGCTTCCCTGTAGATCAGTTGCTCCTGTTAGATTTACCCACCATTCCCTAAGACAATAAGAATGCCATCTGCATAAGGGGTGGAGGAGATGATGCAGGTCTGAGTACAGAAAGGCAGAGACAAGATACAAAGGCCTCTACTCGCTGTAAGAAGAAACTCATCAGTATAATTATCACATATAAATAATACCACAGTGAACTACAGAGCACATTGTGCTTAATTTCCTCCGCTTCCCACTGGCAGTGTCCTCTACATGTACAATATACTGTAATTACATTGTACATATTCCCACAATGTTTATGAATCTATTCCTATAGATTTATCTATAGATTGTTGACTTCAGAGCTGAGCAGCTGTTGTTTACTTGCAGTTACTGATAACTTCAACAAATGAAGTAGAGATTTAAAATTTTTTTCTCCTCACTTCTTTCAGAGAAGATGTGGGAGAGTACAGAAGTGACTGGCAGAGAGGCTCCTGGAACAAAGCTGATCCTAACAAGGTTCCTGTTTGGTTCCTGAGAACCTTCTCAAGGTTATAAGCCTTCTCAAGCACACCAGATTTTGAATGTGTTTTCTAGGATGTCCTGGAATCCCCTGAAGGGTCACAGAGTCCAGATTATAAACCCTGTTGTAAGTGGTATCATTCCTCTATGCTCATTTTCACTGGTACAGCCACTCTATGACCATGTCTTCAAACACACACTAAATTACCATAGGGAAAGATATGAAGCACTTTAAATCTGGCAGAATCTATGTAGGAATAGTTGGTGATATGCGAGACTTCTCATTTTGGAAATGAGAGAAGGCACAGTAGTGTGAATTAATCTTTTAGAGGTCTACTTGCTCAAGTCAAGATTACTTTCTCCAGTTTTTTTCCTCTTGCACACTGAAAAATGAACAGTTATTAGTTCTGGCATTGCATGTCAGCAAACTCTGGCTTTGGGCCAGGCCTACACTACAAAGAGCATGCCACTGTGATTATTAAAACAAGAACCTGTCTGTCTCTTAACACTGGCTCTACTGGAGAGGATGGTGAGGGTAGGCATGCAGTCACATCTGTGCCATTTTATCATGTTGAGTTAATGAGCCAGATTTTTTTCAAATGACTCACAGTATCACATTAACACAAAACTTCAAAGGGTTCATTCACCTTCTCTTTCCCAAACCAGACTGGAGAAGCAAAGTGCTTATCCTACCTCACGTCCTAAGCCAGAGGAGATAGCAGCACCAATCTGGCACGAGTATCTGGTGCTATAAGGAAACTTCATTCTCAACAGATTAAAATAGTCATTTGATATTAATATTTTATACATATTAAAACACTTCTAGTTTTTATGGACATGCTCATATATATAATATATATATAATATATATATATTTGGTCTTTTTGAGACAGAGTCTCCCTGTAGCCCCAGCTGTCCTAGAACTCACTATGTAGACCAGGCTGGCCTTGAACTCACAGAGATCTGCCTGCCTCTGCCTCCTGAGCACTGGTATTAAAGGCGTGCGCCACCACACCCAGCAGACATGCTCATATTTTAAAAGAGCACCTTAAATTTCCTGAGAACACTAGAAATATTATATAAAGTTCTGCCATGGGACTTTTTACCAATGTGCTATAAACATTAATGCACTCTTGAGAGACAATAAATATCTTTCCCAGTTTATAAACCATAGCACTGAGTCATCACGGACTGCTGAGTTTCTCAGGGTCAAGCAGTGAGTCACACAGAGAGCAGGCTGGAGGCAGCTTTGGTGGACACTGTACTCTACCTGTTTCTGTCTACACAGGAATGAGCAAATAAGTTTTCTTCAAATTCATCCATCAAAATAATATTCAGATGGTGATTTTCTAATTTTATAACAATGTAAACAAAGGCCCTTAGTACATGGGATTTATGATCCAAAGTGCCTTTGACATAGACAAACTCCTAGAGTGTCTTGGTCTTATTAAAAAGGACTTAACCCCCAGGATCTCCACTGCAGCATGCAGCACGCTGAACTTACTGAAGGGCTGGCTCCTGTAGTACCTCACTGTTCTGGCAGTATTTGCAATCATGCGCTGTAAGGAACAAGAAAAAGAAAAGAGAGAAATGCAAGTCAGCTTAGTGTATAATCCCCAAAGGGAAACAAAACATTATTTATTCCAGCAATACTCGGTATCATAGGAAACAGTGTGTTCTGAGATATTGACTATCTGAAGGCAGCCAGTTGATGTGTAACTTGTTTAAAGATGTTGTTAATGAGGCACCCACCCACATACACACAAGGCATTTTCGGGGAAAGAATATTCATGGCCCAGCAGGCTCTTGTCTTATTGTTTTCTTGTTCCTCCCAGGTAAACAGGTATTTCTAAGATTGTATTGCAATGCTTAAAAAGAGTTTCTATCATCTTTTCTGGAGGTTAGTGTAAATTTGTGGGCAGAATTTGTAACTGTCTTAGATTTGAAGAAGGGTTATCTTATCAAATCCCTCCTAGCTAATAGGACTCAGTACTGAGGCAGTAGATTATACTATCTAAACGGTAAGTCAGAATATTCTCCCTATAAATTCTTGCTACCTCACTATGCTTCACTGAGCGTTTTACTCTTGTAGCAAAAGTATACATCTTAATGTAAATCCTACTTTCCTTCCTTCTTTACTTTTACTTCCTAGTTTATAACACTGACATAGACACATTTTAGAAAAGCAAAATGTTAAAAATGAAGTAAAACTCACTTAGGACATCAATTCAAAGAGTAAACTCATTAATATTCTTATTTAAAAAAATAAATACCTAAATGCATATTTTAAAAAGTTAAAGGAAGTCTGGGCATGGTAGTACATGCCTTTAATCCCAGATCTCCAGAGGCAGAGGCAGGCAAATCTCTGTGAGACTGAGGCTAGCCTGCTGTACATAACAAGTTCCAGGCCAGCTGGGGCTACAGGGAGACCCTGCCTAAAAACAAACAAACAAACAAACAAAAAAACAAACAAATAAAAACATTCTGTGAACACATTTATGCTCTTAACTTTTACATTGCATGGTGATTATTTTCCACGATCTCTGCATTTTAAACATTTTTTAAAACAAGTAGCTATTCCACTAAATTGACCATAACTTATTGGACCCTTGCTAATTTTGTCATTAAGCAATCTTAATTTCTATAAAGTTTTGGTTGCAATAAAGATTTAAGAAAGAATCACTCAAACACACAAGAAGAAGGTGGGTAGGAGGAGGCTGGGGATATGGCTTGGTCACAGTAAAGTGCTTGCTGGGTATTAGGCACTAGATTCAATCTCCAGTACTGAAAGGACTGTGGGGGGCGGGGGGCAACACCACCACCACCACCACCAACAACAACAACAGAGACCTCTAATTCTTGAGGAAAAACACTCCTGAGGCCTAAGCACTATTCTTTAGCAGGATGTCCACCTTTTGCACATGGTATTTTAACAGTACCTTGGCCCTGCAATCCCTATGTATGCTTCAGGACTTTGATGTTCAGATCTGAAGGGGATCCTGTATAGATAGTGGATGAATAGTTCCATCAGCAGAAAATTGAAAAGGCTCAACCCAGAGAAAGAAACAGCCCAATTTTTAAGGAGCTATGTGATCCCAGTCCTCACTTTTTTCCTCTCTCACAGGCCCTTGGTTTACCAAAGTATAAGAAAATGATTTTGAGGCAAGCTATGTCATATGAAAAAAATGACAGAAGAGTCAAGGCCTTACAAATGTACACACACAGGCATCACAATGCTGTGCTGCACCGAACACTACCGCTCGGAGGGCTCTGGCAAGCATGGGATGGCATATGTCTGCACAGGCTGATTTCTCATACACAAAGAGGCAATCGGAAAAGTTTGAACCTCGCTTTCATAAAAGATCCTAAAAACCAGCACGACTGTTGATCAGCATGAGAAATAAACTACAAATACCTCTAAGGAAATGTAACATACAATGTATAATTAGCCTCTGATATATGGAGCCCCAGAATAAACAGTAACTATGATAATTTTCCTGCTAATTTACTTTAAGTTGTTTTTTCACTCCTCTAAAGGCTTTGCATCAGAAGGGCACAAGTATATTCCATGTAGAATTATTGTAATTCTTCAGATATTGAATGGAGTATAATTACCGAAAACCCTGGGAAACGCTGCCTGTATGCCCCTCTGAAGAATAATAAAACAATTAGCAGGGGTCAGAAACCTCTTCCTATACCATTTTGTAGGGAGTAATTGTTCTGCTTTTTAGTTTTGAAAGCTAAAACATTTCATTCTGACTTTGGTTTTAGACTACTCTTTATACCTATACTCTGAGGCTTCATAATTTTTAGCTCATTATGTAGTTTAAAATGTGAGAACAATTGTTTAAATCAGTAATTTCTAGCTCTGAAGTTCATTTTACCTTTCTAAATCTTTGATTAATTTTAACAATGGTTTTAATTTTGACATATCCTTTTTAATTGTATTGCAAGATAACTTCAGTTTAACTTCAAAATCCACATCTGGCTTTATAAGGAGGTCCATTCTTTTCTTTGTAAGGTCCAGACAATAGTGCTTAATGGTGTGAACTCATGATGATGATGAGGGAAGCCCACTTATTGCATGGTTATAGAATGTTTTCAGGGGGGCCAAAAAAAGGTCAACATATTTTGAATTCCAATTTCTTTTGGACCCACTGACATATACAATATTTACTATGCTATTGAGACTTCAGAAGTCACCTCCTCAAACCATCTCTAGGGTACATATCTCCTTTTACAGCCTGCCCATGGCTTCCCAGTGTTTGACTGCACCCAGCAATCACCATTGGAATCATCACCTCCAAGGACAGCCCTCTCATTTATAAACATTTCTGAAATTTCTTTACTGCTTTGAGTCAATTTTCTCTTTTTACTTTTCACTTGTGGATCCTCATTCTGAGCTCTGGAGTCATAACAAATATGTTTAGATCTTTCTAAGAGGTTAGTTCTTCAAATATTTAACAATGACTATTAGTGACATCTTCCCCTCAGATCTTTCCTCATTCAACCTAAACATTCCCAATTTATTCAGCAGTTCCTCATGAAACAGTCTTATCTCTTCTAAGTAATTTCTAGGGCGACATCTGATCTATCTAAGTTATACATCTAAGCCATAATTTAAATAAAATCATATTGCTGATGTTGGGCTGCAGAGAATTAAATCTTATCACCTAGTTCACTAGACTGCTGTTTGGACACAGTTTCCAGCTCTGTGAATGTGCAGGTGACTCAGTAGACCAAGGTGGAGAGTTTGCATTTATCTCCACTAAGACATATCTAACTAGTCTCTAACTGGCTCTGTATCCCACAGACCCACATGTCATCTTTAGTGGAAGACGGCTATGTATTAATTGGTGCTCTCAGTTGAGACTGGCCGAAACTAAGGTTAAAGAGACACAGGCTTCATTATTCAACTGTCACGATGGAGCTGGAGCCAAAAATTACACCCTAAGCTGGGAGGTCTTGCCAGAGCAGGTTAACCTGCCTAGGGCCAACTGGGCAGCTCTCTGCAATGCCAGGCCACAGAGGGAATGCCGGATTACTACAGAGCAGAGCTCTATCTCTTTTTCCATTCCAACAAACCTGAGGGTTATGACACGCTCCCATTAGTAACTGGCTGATTACCAAAGAAATTGGTAATTTGGAGTGACTATGAGGGGAACACACTCCCTCAAAAGGTATTCCAAGTCAGTATAGTGGACAAATTGAAATCCTCTCATGATGATCTTATTTTTTTGTGGGACTAATTCTAAGTGGAGACCTTCAGAGCTTGTTTGCAATGTAATATTTGTTTGTACAGTTCCTGACTTGCAGGGGTTAAGAGATGGGTCCAACTGAAGCTGATGAATTCTCCTCAGGATAATCATTCACAGAGAGATGCTAGACACACTCACAGATGAAAAAGGAGGCGGTGAGTGAAAGATCTGCAACCACACTCACGTACTTATTTCTCTTTAAAACTGAAGACAGACCCAGAAGCGGGCGTCTTTCCTGGGGCCTGGGTAAATGATATGAAGGCCAACCCCATGCCTGTGTGCCAGCGTTGACGTGACAAGCCCAGATACAAATGTCTCTCAAGCTCTGAGGCAGATTCTTGTCTCTGGATCCAATGTGAGGTGCCTCGTTCTCAGACTTGCCCTTACGGCCTGAGTCTCACCCACTGACTTTCCTGTGGCTCTGCCTCTCAGATGCCCACCTGCATCTTCTCACTCTCATTTTATGCCTATGTGGATCTGTTGCTACCCTGCCAGGCCTCTACGCACTCCAGCCTTCCTGGTTTGTTCTTTGACTTGTGGTTCTGCCCAAGCTCCCCCCTTCCTCCTGTTGCTGAGGAGGTGCTGACTTATATGCCTTGTGCTCAAGTTCAGACCAGCAGCCCTCCAGGCGACACCAGCTGACACTGCTACACGCTCAGACACCACCAGTACAGCTTCCCTGGGCTTAGTCTATTTGGTCTCTGAGCTAGAAGCGCCCTAAGGAGCTGCTCCTTGGCTTCTGGCCTCTTCTAACAACTGCCTGTCTGAACAGTTTTTGCCTTTCATTCTGTTGTCCTTGAAGATCTTTATCATTTTCAGTCTTTTCATTTTGTTTTATAGACAGAAACTTGCTATACAGTCCAGGCTAGCCTTGAACTCGTGATCCTCCTGCCTCAGCCTTCCCAGTATTAAGATTACAGACGTGCATTACCACACTCAGTACCACCAGATTGCCTGATTGTCTTTTTTTTTTTTTTTCTTACATTTCTGTCGTACTGCTTTGGCTTGCTCCTACCCCTGTGTGTATGCAATCTAGGACTTCTGTCAATCCTTCCATGCTTAGCATGTGTGAAACCCCATCTGTAACAGGTAATAATCTTATTCAGACTGCTACATCTTCAGGACAAGAATTTTCCCCACAAGAAGATATAGAAATATGTAGTCTCTTTCTACAAAGATTAAGCCTGTGGTAGTAACCAAATTCCTACTTCAAGTGGAGTAGGACTGGAGCTCAAGCAGCCTTTGCTGTGTGCCTCATTTGAAGAAGACTGAACCTTGTCCCCAGCTGTGGGTCTTTTTTATCCAAGGGATGTATGACAACACAGGCTCACATGTTTAACATACGTAATGCTCATAATGTATTATACATAGGAAGGTCACGGGACATCACAGTCCAGGTGTGGAATACTGTGTCCATCTTTGCACTCACAGAAGGACACTGGAGGACAGACTACCATGGGGGGGAGGCAAAATAATGCCCCTTCAGGAACAGAAAGCCAAGAGAAAAACACCTCAAGTCCAGTCTCAGTCCTGCAAATGTTCTATTTGTTTCTAACAAATAGAAAATGCATGTGGATATAATTTTTGTTACCTAAAATCCTTTAAAAATGCTTCAGTTCCCTATCCTTCCTCATCAAGTCCAAGACTAGAAGATCATCATGTTATCCCTTACTTAACAAACAGTCCATGTATAGAGAACATGCCAGACACATTTATGTATTTAGAACATGCCAGACACATTTATGGGTGTTGGAAAACTAGATGTAGGTAAAACATAAAAGATACCTGATCCACAGCCCTCATTTTCTAGAGGGGGAGACAGACAAGAACTAAGCAGAAAAGAAGATCGCCTGAGATCAGAAGACTAAGTATCAAGGCCGGGTTATCACATATGGTTGAGCACTGCTAGAAGGGGAGTCAGGGGAGCCCGGGGAGCCCACTCAGAGGAGAGGACTTACAAGTGCAGCCTGAACCATGAGATGGAACCAGACATATGAAAACCCAGGAAAGAAAATCTCGGGCAAAGGTAACATCTAGGACAAAGGCCCTGTGGCTGGAAGGGAAAGAAAGAAATCGGTCTTGCCAACTTGGGCTCAGTACAGAGATGACATACGAGATGAAGCTGGACGGGTACTTAGGGCAACATGTCTGGATTTTATTATGTTATTGTGTACAATATGGTTTCTCTCTTTTTCTGATATACCTGCAGGAACTTCTCTCTTCTGTGTTTTGCTTTGGGGATGTCTTTTGCTACTCTCATGACCTCTGTTTAGTACTTTTATTGGTTTTTGTTTATTTTTCACATTTCATGTATTTATGGCTTATCTTTGAGACTATATATATATATATTTTTTTTTATATATTCTCTTAAAGAACAAGGACTATTTTGTAGGAATCTTTATATTTCTTAGTAACATCCTCTGCCTAGGCATGCTTCATGTGTTCTGTTGCTTTTGAAGCATGCGCTCTTGAAAATCTGCATTTGTCTTGGTCTGTGAAATATGTATAAAGGATAAATCCTCAAAGTACTCTCCTAGATTTCCTTTGGGTTAGAGAGGCCTTGCAGATTAGGCGGATTTGAACATTTAGATTTTTACTTAAAAATTCTTCTTCTGCAGCTTGAGGTAATAAGTCCAGTGCTTCCTGCATGCATTTTAGAATATTACTGGTGCCAGAAGTCACCTTGTTGCTAATTATGTAATGGCATGCCTAGCTATACAAAAATGAAAGAATTCAAAACATTTTTTAAATGAATAAGCTTCTGTTCATGTTTCCAAAAGTCCAAAAGTTTGCCCTGAGCTTCTAATTCTAGAAAAAAAAAAGACTACTTCAAAAGTCATATTCTTAAATAAATATACCTAAATATGGGTATGTCTGAAAAAGAACCAATCTCCTAACATGACAGCATGCCTTCTGCATCCTGGGATGGTGGCAGCAGGCCAGCATGTTATCCTCTCATCGACTGCTGGTCTACCTTCTGACTGTTATAAATATTCATCTATGACATAGAAAGCTAAAAAGGGCCATATTCAAACATTTTTTGAATATTTCTTTATGTTTCCCCCAAATGCAAGAATGTCTGAAAACAGTATTTTTGCATAAGGATCAGAGTATGAATTTTCTTTTGTTCATATCCATAAATCCTGAAAAACAATTTGCAACAAATTCTCTAATCCTCATTTCATACCTCAAGGGTAAAGATGTTCAAAACAAAGAACAAACAAGAAAAAAAAAAGCCATTAGCATTGGCATGGTGACTTGCTGTAACTGTGTGAGGTGACCACTAAGAAAAGGCCCTGATATTCCTGGCTGCCCTGGCGACGTCTGCCTCTGACAGGAGTTCCCCACTGGGGTTAGAGCCCAGCAGGTCCACACATAAACTGCCAGCTCTGCTCACACCTGGCCCTTGCTGAGAGATGATTGGGAAGTGGCACTGATGGGACTCTAGAAAGAAGACCTATCCTTCTCCAAGACAGGGGGTAACAGATACTAGTGGTAGTAGTTGAACTAAGGGGAGAGGCAAAATGACACCCCAAATAAGGGCTACATTTACAAGCCTTTGTTTCATGTGATTAAATTTCTAGCTACTAAAGTGTGATGCAACTAGAGAGCACAACTTCTCCCCTCTCCATAATGGGAAGAAACCTTCTCTGCAGCTGGTCTCCTGAACCATGTGAAATGGGAAAAGAGAAACCAGAAACCTTGATTTCTCAGAGCAGAGCCACCATGCTCACTCAGTCTTTGAAATGACAAAGAAAGAAATGAATCTTACTCAACCAATCATTAATTTAGGCTTGTGTTTTGCAGCTGAAATGCTAGCTTAGCAGTTCAGTGACTGTTAAACAACCAGAGAGCACTGCAGTAAGGACCCTTCTCAGTGCCTGGCAGGAAAGAGCTCACTGCTGTGGACCTGAGGTACAGACATGAGAAGTGCAGTCCTAGGCCGTCTTGGCTTTTCCTCTGTAGGTATGGATGGGACACAGCTCTAGAAATGAGTAGACAACTCTCAGCCTCCGCGGCAGATGGCTGGCTCAGAGTACGCTGCTGTTCTTGCTTGCTCTGGATTACTTAGTTCAGTTTAGCAATCAGTTCTAAACTCAGTCAGCTCTTCAGGGAAGCCTGACTTCCTCACCTCTGTGCTCATGCATTTTCTATTTCAATGGTTGGCCTAGCCACCTCTTAGCCTGATGATCTGCATAAGCCATTCAGAATGCACTTTACATAATTTGCTAAATCTTTCACTTTGGGAAAACAAGGTGTTTGGCTTTTTTTAAGAATTGGGAAATTGTTTAACTCTCCATGCTAACAAGTGAGCAAAGATTTTTTTTCCCCCCACAAAAAAATTGTCAAAATGATTCAGCAACAAAGATGCTTGCACCTGCCTTTGGTTATAGGGCTGGGAAGGGAATCCACTGAGAAGCTATTTGTCCACTGGTGCAGTGTCTTTGCAGAGTGTGTGCTTATGTTCTGTTTCCTCAGGAGTTTAATATTTTATTTATTATTTTTATCTTAATTACGTGCATGAGTGAATTGCCTGCATGTATGTAAGTGTAACTATGTCCTGGATTGCCCATAGAGGTCAGAAGAGGACATTGGATCTCCTGGAACTAGAGTTACAGACTGCTGTTAGCTGCCATGTGGGTGCTGGGAATCGAACCTGGGTCTTCTGCAAGAACAGCAAGTGCTCTTAACTGCTGCACCAACTCTCCAACCCCTGTCAGAGTTTAAGACAGAGAATATAGTATCCAGCAAAAGGTGTGCTTCCTTCCTAACCATAAGTTCATAATGAATGGGGATGAGACTTATGAGATTATGGTAGGGTGTTTCAAATTCTTCTGCAAACATACATACTAGCTTGATTTCAAGAAACAGAATTACAGGTGCTTTTTGAGGAAGACTCATGTACCTACCATCAGTCCAGAAATGGATGGGGAAGGCATGATCCCCATTTTCTGTTGTGAAAATGGACCCACACATAAATCAAGGGCCAATTACAAAGTGATGAATCTGAGCATTGACTCTGATTATCTCCCAAGCTCCAAGTCGAGGGCCACATTCACCCTATACTGCAAAACGTGACCTTGCTTACTCGCTGGGAGATAAAGCACTGTAACACTCCATCTATCCCAGCCACAGGATTCAAAGACAGTGGGGCATTCCACTGACATGGACTAAGTAGCTAAAGAAAGACTTTGGCATGGCCTGCTTTATTGCTTCATGGAAGATAAGAAAATAAACTGCAAAGAACCTTTGCCAGACTCCCCTTTTCTTGAGGTGTGGGTGGTGGCAGGGTAGAGGAATAGTGGCTGGAAAATACTGAGTATGTAAGTGCTGGTTTCGCATTTGTTGCTGACATTTTTGTTGTTGTTGTTGTTGTTGTTGTTATGGAGATGTCCACTCTCTGAACTCGAGTGAACTTTACAGGACTGAACAATACACATTTAGATTAATGTTCCATAATAAAGATTTGGTATAGAATTGCCTTTTACCTACAAGCACTTAAGTCAGCCTCGGCAGATAAACATTTCAAAGGCATCCTGGGGCAGCCTAGCTGCACAGAGCTTCCAACAAAACAACAACACAGAAGTCACTCTTGAACATTCGTGTATTTTAGCAACAGGCAGCAGAGGACAGAAACACTCCGCATAAAAGCTAGCTGCCGCTGGGAGCCACAGCACAAATCCCATTCAGCTTCACAAAAGAGAACTGACAGAGTAAAATAGGGAGCCAATTTGAACCTAATGTTTCAAAACTCCTTTATGTGTAACTACCTTTTTAACATGGCAGCATATACGCAAGTTATTTCCCTTATTAGTACAAATGCAAATTTTATTTTAAAAAAACATTGTGGTTAAGGTTGTAATACCACACTTACCATTTTTTCAAAGTTTACAAGATTGTCAATGAATGTCTTGTTCCCCTCATGAGTAAATGTCATATCTGTAAAGAAATAAAAGCCACATTCTAATCACTAACGGAAATATGTCATAGGAAGAAAGCACAATAACACCATTAGAGTGTGCAGGTAGATTTGCATAACACTGCAGTTGAAAATGCTGATAATAGTTCCTTTTATGTTAGGTGTTTAACTTTCAAAATCACTTTATCTGAGATTAGTAAAATCTCAAAAATAAACCTGTTTCACTCCCAAGACTTTAAAATCATGGGCTCTTGGCTCTTCTGACAAGCTTCCCACCTTGTAACTCTTTCAGGAGAGTCAGAGGGAAGAGCAAGAGACAAAGAAGGTGGAAAGATGGGTCTTCTTTCCTCAGAGAGCTGCCTGCTCAGGATGCTGTTCATCTTTGTTCCTCAAGTACTCAGCCCCTGCCTATCCTGGGTGTTTCTTAGATTACCTTTAATCAGCAAAGGCATGAAAGGGATGAGAGGGGGCTCCAGCTTAGCTGCCGTCAGCCTATAGGCCCTGTGATTTCTGGAAGGGTCCTTGGGAGAGACAGAGAGATGCTGGTCAGCGATGAGCGACAGGTACCACACCCCTTTTGACCCTCTAGCACACACAGCCTCATCATCCTACAAGCAGGTATTTTTGAATGAACTATAATTGCCAAAGAAAGGTAGACTTAAGCAGACTGATTTTTTGGAAAACAACTTCACATATGATAAGACAAGATTTTGTCATTTGTTCCCTTTCTGGTTTAAAGGAGATATTTGCTCACAAGGACCAAGGGGAGACACCCCCTGAAAGCAAATATGAACTATGGAAAGCAAATCTCAAAAGAGATTTCCCTTCTGGTGAAGCCCCACCTCCCTCTTGGACATTGGGTCTCCTCCCTATCCCCTAATTTGCCACTCCTGCTTCACCCTCAGAACCATCCCTTGCCTCTCAGTAAGTTCCATTCACTCCTTTCCTGTCTGGTAACACCTCCCAGCCAACAGGGAAAAATAATCTTGGCAACCAAGAGAAATGCAGTTTCCAACCCACAGCCAACCTGAGCTGGGTGGTAGGGACCCTATTACACTGCTTTTCTTAGTTACACAAATTGACCTTATGTGAGACATAAGTCCTCTTTAACTTAGCTCCTGAGGGTGCTGTTCATTAGTCAGGCATGCTTGTTTTAGCAGCACTAAAAGGGATCATAAACTTCTTAAAGTCACACAAGGACAGATAAAATTTCTGAAATGAGAATCTCAACTCACCTAACCAGAAACTGGATTAATGCAGATAGTGAAGAGAATAAGGAAGCCGCTGTCACTTACCATTAAACTTTCAAACTCTGCATAGAACTTCTTGAACTTGCTTGGCAGTTTCTGTTAATAAAATGAAAATGCCACATGCATATGTCAGATCTAATATCTAGACATGTATCATGTGCTACTGTTTCTGGGGGAAATGTATTTCTTTTGGCTCCTAATCAAATATCTCCCAGACAGGACCAGCTATCATGCATCCTGTCGCTTGGGAGTTATCTCTGCAACACAGAGATACTTTGAAAAGTCTTAATCTAGTTGGGCCCAAAGTAACTACGAGTGCTTTGGTCTTAGTGCTTCTATAATATATTCTGGACTGGATAATTCATAATCAGGCCTGCCTGAATTCCTGAGACTCTTAAGTGGTCTAGACCCTCCAAACCCTTTTTTAAAAAAAATTAATTCTTTGATTTCCACATCCAAAATTTAGACTGGAAAATGTTAGGATTAAAAGAGTTTCAGAAACGATTCTGTTTTCTTCTTCCTTTCCAAAGAAAGCCACATGAGAACAGGGCTTGTTTTCTTTTTAATTAGTTTTGTTTGACATTTCCTCAATGTGTAACACAGTGCTGAGTATACAGAAGGTGCTCAATTTCATCTGAATAGTTGAAACCTGTGTTTTACAGATGAAAAGAGTCAGCCTCACAGCCTAAATGACTGTCCCAAAGCCATGCAGCTGACTGTCCTCAGCTTCTCCTTGGTTCACATCCCACTTCCTTTTGTCACCTCCCTTCTGTGCCTGCAGCTGTTTTTCTGACTGAGCATCTCTCCCGCATGATTTCTTTGCCTAGTTATAACATAAAGTGTGATAGTTCTACCAGGGTGCTGATTTCTCATGTCATATGGTCCCTGACAGCACCACTCACTGCACCTGCAGAGAGAAGCCAGGAGGTCAGCACTGCATCGTTTTTCAATCCACTGCTTTCTACGTTGCTGAGATTTTTGGAAGCTGAACGTCCTTCTGACAAACCCAGATGGAACAGAGTAATGCTTCCCATCCTGAGACCGGAGAAACATCGGCTGTCCTGAGACCCAGAGATTCCTACTAGGCCTGCTCTGCCCAGCGAGGTCCACCTTCCACAGCTGCTCCACCAACTAGCCCCTGCAGTCCTCAGAAAACTCCAGCCTGTTCTGTTCTGGTGTCTGAATCAGACTCTCAAATTCCCATTTAAATATCTGTAACAATCTTATTTTGTTTCTGGAAACCGGTGCCCTCACACTCCTTAGTACCTATTTTCAAGGATACAAGAAACCCCATTATCATCATATTTGGAAGACCCTTCAAGGCTGAAAGCAGTGATGTGCATCAGGGGTGCACAGGTCTCACGCAGAGCATTCCAATAACTATGCTGGGCAGTGAAGAGAGTCCATTTACAAAATTAGACCTTTTATAGCCAGGCGTGGTGGTGCACGCCTTTAACCCCAGCACTCGGGAGGCAGAGGCAGGCAGATCGCTGTGAGTTCAATGCTAGCCTGGTCTACATAGTGAGTTCCAGGACAGCTGGGGCTACAGGGAGACCCTGTCTCAAAAAGACCAAAAAAAAATTAGGCCTTTTGGTGTTAGAGTCAAATGTTCATCAACATTGTTCACTTTTGGCTATATCTCTGTCCTCCTAATTCTTTCTGGTAATTTAGCTGGCTTCAGTCAAGGGCAATAGGCAACATGGTAACAAAACCTTTTGTGATTCTCAATACTATTAACTATCCACACTGTGTTTCAAAAGCAGTGTCCTTAGTTGGGGCAGTCCAGGGAATGATTAGGGGTGCCAGTAGGCATTTTTGGGTGTCATGACCACAATGGGGTACAATAAGAAGTACCTCTGAAATACAGTGGGCAGCAGCCAGTGAGGTGGCTTTGATCCTACAACATACAGACAACCCTGGACAGCAAGCACTTGTCCTGCCCCAAATGTCAGTAGGGCCAAGGCCAAGGCTAAGATGCCTCCAAACCATCACTCTCACTTGCTTCATCTCAGATGGAGTTTTCTCCCCTGTTACTAGCCCTTCTCTTTATTATATGACATCATCTTAGTTCCTGTTTGGCCCAGTGTCTGCTCTACAGCTGTTCTATAGTCCCCTGAGAATAGACACCATTCCCCAGACTACTCATGTGGTTACCCTGTTACTCACTGGAGCCCTTGAGAGCCCTTGGGATGTTCTCATCAAAAACAGAAAAATAATCCAAATCAAAGATGCTTATGAGTGAAAGCTCTCCCAGAATGACATGACCACAATTCACCTATAAAAAATGAACATTTATAAATGATAGAAGGCTCATCTTTTCTGTCAGAGACACAATGACAGAAGTAGAAGTTTATAGACTTCTAGCACTCCTGATAAAAGTAAAGGACTGGACAATTGGTTATCTCCTTTTGCTGACAATAGACTGGCCAATTAGCTGGCTGCACACTCCCCAAGGGCATCTGAGGTAGGAGAAAGGTCTCAGAGAGCGCTTCCCTGTGCCATGCTCTAACTACCTGGCTCCTATTATGTTGGATATGCATGCATCTGGCCATCCTGCTCCCTCAAAAAGCTTTATGCCTTCCTGTGATTTTCTTACTCATTTCATTTGGATTCTGGGGGGTGGATTAGAAGCTGGATGCAGGATATCTGAGGGGAACCGTAGGTCTTTAAGAGCCTTGGTCAGCAAGACAGGGACACTGCACAAAGGTTTCATTGCTCATTTAATACTGGCACACTAACTCTGTTCTGGAAGACGACACAGCTGCATGGCATGCAGTCCTCACCAATTCCCTCATTCCTATATTCAGGAGATGAGCTGCCGTGTGCTGAATCTGCCTGGAATTTTAAGAGAAACCCAAGACAGAAGGGCTTGCGAGGACCTGCCCCATAAACAATGGAAATATTCAGCAGGGTCAGAGAAAGAAAATAGTTCCAGGAGAGAAATGGTTAGGAAAATAATTTCCAAGGGAAACATGGATACAAACAACTGCTATTAAACACCAACAAAAACTGAGTCTCATCATATATTCCTCACCCTTTTATTTTCTGTCCGTCTTACACATGCTTTTTTATTTTTAGCAAGAGTCTATTTTTGTATGTTCTATCAGAGATTAGTATTTCTTCAACTATATGTCACATGTAAGAGGTCAGGCACTTTCTGCATACTAAGCTGGTGACAAACGAAGATGTTTTAAACCCTGAACATCCAACTATCAACAAATGAACCATTCATTCTGTTTGCTACAGAAATTCACAACACACCTGCATAACTTCAGTCCCAAAGAGAAAGAAGCCTTGTCAACTGTTGCTGCTTTCTGGAGAGAGGAGGTGCCAGATGGTTCTGAGACACTTAGTACTGGCTGCTCCCCACAGTTGGCCTCTGGGCTGATTCTCCCAGGAGCAAAATGGCCACTTGGATAAAAATGAATCTTCTGCCCTCTTTCAGTCATAGGTCAGGCTTGGTGCAAAAGCAACAGGTACACGCTTCAGGGACAACTGCATCCATGAGCAAAGCTATTTTTACAGCCATCTAACATACGTTGTTGGTTCATGTTATAGGTAGACCTGGAGTTAAAATTATTTACATTGCGGAGATGGAAAGGCTGAGGGTCCCCTGGTCCCCTACTCTGCACCACCCCTCCCCACCACAGGACAATATCTTTTTAAACTCTTGCTCTGAGGCAACTAGAAAAAGAAGACAGGTCATCTCCCTCTAAGGGTCCCACCTTTTCCATTGTTATACCAGTGTGAGTGCTGTTTCTATAAAGAAGCTCACTGGTGAGCCTGTGTTTTTATTCCTAAGGCAAAAGTCACAGCTGGATGCCAGCAGCAGCTTACCTCCCACGTTAGTACCAGGCGGCTCACAGCAACATTACTCAGTCCCATGACGATGGCAAAAAAGGAATTTAGATTTTTGTACTCTTTGCAGCTGAAACACAAGAGGCACGTGTTTGAGCAAAATGTCACTTTTGAGTGAAAAATTATTTTTAAATTAGAGTCCTATTTTCTGACAGTCATTAATATTCACCAGGACTCCTTTATATGAACTGGCAATGATGGATTTAATGCACTACAGAAGTTCTGCTTGGGTGACCACGCTCTGCTGTCCCACTTCTCACTGTCATTGCAGAAAGTTGATGCCTTTGGCCACTGAGGCTTGGGTTTTGAGAAGTAATCCAAACTCACCTCCCCTAAGAGTTGCTATTAGAATCCTAAATTTGCTATAAGCCATGGTGAACCTGGAGGAGATCATCCTGTGCAATGGGAAGAGGGAAGGCAAAATGTTCTTAGAGATTTTGAGACTTGGAGGTGGACACCCTGACCTGTCAGGTACAAAGCAAAGGACAAACCTGTAATGCTGTAGTCACTCTGGTTCCTGTCTGTTAGATTAATCATTTTAAACCATTGAAAAACACCAACTTATGAGGCATGGTTCCTGTGGGATGGGCACTTTATTGGGAAATTAACTATAGCACTAATAACAAAATAACCTTATTTTCTGTGTGTTTTACTGACATTGATGAAGTTGATAATTTCAAATCTGTATTTATGCCATTATGAGCATTTATGAATCTATATTTAGGAATTAAACACGGAGATCAAGCCTAGAAATTTGTATTACAATGGTGATATTATCCCAAGTACTAGATTTACCTAAGATGGAGAAGAACCCCTTGACAGAATATGCGAACCTCAGAAAAACCATGAGCTTCATTAGAGGAAGCCATAAAGGCATAAAAACCATCAGAATGGCTCTAAATTGTAAAAGTACAAACTTTCCCCAGTGACCCAACAGCTATAGATCAAAGACCTGGCTCTGCTCATCCCTTGTCAGTTGGTCACTCCCAAGCCTGAGAGGAAATGTTTGTGGAGCCTACCTGTCTCCTTTAAGGCCATAGATAACATTCCTGCCAGTTCCTGGGTAAATAATCTTGAGAAGGAGATCTTTAAGCCCGGGCACTAGCTTGACTTCCCACTAAGTGTAATTGTGTCCCACTACCCTGGTACAACTCCCCCTGGTTTCTTTGTCTAGTTGTAGAAGCTTGGTTCCCACGGACAGCCTCTACTTCTCAATGTATGTTCTTTGAATAAAGGAAGATATATTCCTTGCCTGTTGCAGGTCTGGTCTGGCTCTGGTTTCTTGTCTCCTACTCCTCTATCTTTCCTTTTATTTTCCAAAAATCTAACACCCCCTAAGTTCTTCATACAGGCCTCTAAAAAGGGAAAGAATTCATTTTACAGTAAGCACAAATCTTCTACCCCAAATCAATATGGTTACCTAAGTTGACTGCATCATAAATAGATGCTGTTTGAATTAACATTTCTGTAAAAGCTCATTAAATGGTTGCTTTTGGTGCATATGTTTTCCTCAAAACAGTAACAATGAGTAATTCTTCAATTGTCTATGTGGAAATGGGAAATTTTATTCCAAAGGAGCTATGGTATGTCAGGTCACTTATAAGAAAGCAAAGAAGGACTTTGTAATGCTGGACCAGTGGCTGACACATAAAGGGTTGAAAGTTATTTAGTAGACAGCACAACTGGTGAGTGTCACCACATACATGTATTTGCCTTTGTCTTGTGTACATGACCTTGAGAGAATAAACTCAGAGCTGTAGACACTATTCTGTTATCAACTTCGCTTATCACCCAAGGCAAGTCAGGAGATTACTGTGCACTTCAGTTGCTTCGGATGTGAGCAAATACCTCCCACCATCCCTCAGCTTCATTATGCTCTGGACAGGGCCAAGAGCATAAGGGAATTTTACTACAGCTCTTAAAAAAAACAAACAAAAAAGCAGCACAACAGACACAACTACTTCAAGGTTTCTGTGTCATTCTTGTAGACCTCAGCCTATGAAAACCTACAGTCTTTAACAGCTGGGCTTAGTGAACAGATTCATTATGGGATAGTAATTGCCTCAGCACAGGACTTAGTCATGATTAAATAATATCAGCTGATGGAGCTGGAGAGATGGCTCAGTGGTTCTTGAAGAAGACCCGGGTTCGAATCCCAGCATCCACATGGCAGCTAACAACTGTCTGTAATTCCAGTTCCAGCAGATCTGACAGCCTCTTCTGACCTCCACAGGCATAGCACGACACCGGTGCACTTACCTACATGCAGGCAATGCACGCATACACATAAAATAAAAACAATAGATAAAAATAATATCAGTTGATGTGTACAGAAGGTCAATCCCATCTATTCAAAATCAGAAGGAAGAAGGGTAACAAAGGCAAAAACACAAGAAAATATTCCTGGGTGCTTTGAGAGGCTCACCTGTGTTGCTTCCATAATAAAAGAACTGGGTCCCCCCAAAGTTTTCTAAACCCCACCTTTATTGGCAGGTCACCTCTTTCCCCTAGCTGAATTTGGGAGCAGCAGGCTAAGGTGAAGAGAGAATGTGCTCCCTGTGCTGGGAAAGCACAGCCTGTCATAGTTTCCATAACCCACTCATTCCAAAAGCATGAAGGCATCTGCTTGCTGCACAGAGCCTGTTCGTGCTCCTGAGGAAAGTGGCTTCATTCGACAAAAACCTTTCTTCAAATAGCCAGCTTTCCCAAAGAGAGAGCCGGGTATGAATTCAAAGGATCTGGTAGTCTGTTGAACCCTCAAATTTTTTGGCAAAATAACTCAAGGCATTTGGCAAGCCAACGTCTATAAAACATCAAGCAGCTTTGACTTCTTTGTTTAGCTCTGGAAATCAGACTCTGTGAGATCTGAACTGTTTGGCTCAAGAAAATTGCCTGGCTGGGGTCACTTGTTCTTCCAACCTTCCTGTGCCTGAGCTCCCTGCATTTAGAAAGGAAAGGAGTCTCATAGCCACAGGCCACATTTAGCTTTTTATTTTTAGCACTGTGGTGATACCAAAAACATGGAAGTAAACAGGAGGTTGTTAGGCATATCTAAATAGCAAGAAAAGATTAAATTCATGTCAGGAAGAAACCTAACTGGCCCCCACAGTAAATAAATAGTTTCCCATGAGGTTCTGTTAAATACAATATTTATAAGATGTTTGCTTGCTCTGTCGTTTATGGAGATGTTCTTGTACCAGGTTAGCTCGCCTTTATGCATTCTACTGATTTTATTCTGGCTGAGTTGGATGTGTTCTTGTACCAGCATGTTCTACTGCCCTCTACCGGTGAGAACGTGTCCATGCAGGACAAGGGCTTCAAGGGCCTCTTCAGCAGCAGTTTCTGCAAGGGAACTTTGTTTACTTAAGCACTCTAAACTAAAGGATGGAAAAAATTTCTGAGGAGTTCAGAGCAAAAAAAAAGAGCCCCCTTTTGACTCCAGAATCAGTACACCAAGACATTAATTTATGTATTGATGTCAACTCACAAAAGCTAAAAGAAACTCTTTGACAAGACTTCAGCTACTGGTGGGCCCCATGGCAGGTCCCTGAGCACAAGTCGTTTTTACATTTTGCTTTTCTTTTTAAGGTGTATTCTATGAGAACGCAGCTCGAAGATTTTTTTTCTCTCAAGTTAAAGATACTTACTGGGCTGCTATCTTAATAAATTTTTTCAAGAGCTGAACACGCTTGCTGAGTTGGGAACAAAGGCAGATCTCGGTGACAACCCAAAACTGAATTTCATTAAATCTCCTCAGGAACAAATCCAAGTTTGCTGTGGTCTTTTTAAAATTATGCCTTCCAAATGTGTGGTAGATTAGCTCCAGCTAGAACAGAAAAGAAAACAATTTCACTTATTTGTTGGCTTTTAAATCAAAACGCCAGCCTGGCTCCTCTATTTGTAAAGTGTTCTATCGGGCAGCAGATGTGAATTCAATCACTAACCCGGATGTAACTTGTCATATAGATTTGAAGGGCTTTTGTGAGGCTTGTGAAATATATAAATATAAACTAGGTGTTATTGGCTTAATATACAGGAAGACATAGCATAGCATCACAGGGATTTTTTTTTAACACTTGAAGACTTTATAACAGGCTTTATTTATAAACTCAGCATGACAAAAAGCCATCATGTGGTTTCCATATGGCAACATACAGTAATGTGAGGAGAGTAGGGTCAGCAGGCCCCATTCAGAATCGCTCTGGAACCTGCAGACGCTCCTGGCTGGGCACCTTACCTCGTGCACACAGTTGAACAGCTCCCAGTCATATATTGTCATCTGGTACGCCAAGTCTTTGGAGCTCATTAGTTCAAAGGTTCCCACTGTCCCAGTGGTGGGCCCTTCCTGTTCTGGCAAGGGAGTCTGTGAATAATTGTGCAAAAGTAGATCAGAACCCCAAAAGGGACAAGTACTTAGTGCCAAATGCTTTCAGGAGTTTTGGATAGGAAAGGATTTAGGAAATGCTTTCGGGAATATTTTGAAACTCTGATTTCACTCAGGAATGAAAAGGGCCTTTACTCTTCATTGTACTTGTTTCAGAGCCATCTTTGTAATCATCACCACCACCACCATCATCATCTCACTGGAAACTGTGGGCCAATGCAAATAAGATTTGGTGGAGGGCAACCTGGAAGGTTCTCCTATGCCTGGGGCTGGAGATACCTGGGGATGCTTCCTTTTCTCTGGTAAAGATTGAAGGTGATTGATTGGTGTAGTGGCTCTGATCTCAGCAGACTTCCAGAGAGTACCCAGTTCTGGCCTCCTTCTGGCAGAGGGCCTGAGAACGCAGGGGACTGCCTGAGAGCACCAGGATTCTGCCTCCATGTGGTGGTCAGCTTCCCTTAATTGCGCCATACCCATCCCCCTACCTGGGATTTTGTGAGGCCCCTCTCAAGGCCCCAGGTCAGATCTGGCTTTGGTAGGCTAAGGCTGAGATCCTAGCAGACAGCCTGAGAGGGTGGGATCTTGGCGATGCCCCCTTCCTATTCCCCATGGACACTACTACGAAGAAGAAAGGTACTGGCATGGGAGTTTTGGATTTCTACCCACAGTACTGCCTATTGCTGATGGTGACTGAAGTCACCTCACCACGGCTGCACCTCTTTAATACCACCTGAGGCAGTGAGGTGGTGCAGAGTGCTGTGAGCTGAGTCTACACATGATGTCCAATTCTTCTACCCCTGGAAGCCACAGGGCTGAAAATGTTATTTACATGTTTGGGGCAAGACATCAGAAGACTAAACTCTGCTACTTTGGTCAAGACTCTGGGTTAAAGTTTTCATTTGATTCACTTATCTCATTTTGTATTCTGAGAAATTATCTAAAGTGTTTTCACTGTGTAAAATGGATGATAAACAAAGGAAATGTATATATTATAGATTAGTATCTATAAGACAAGGAATATATAAATGTATATATAATAACTGTGAAAATAATGTTTGCTAATATGATGCTAACTATATTTGGGTATTCGATATGCATGTCAGAGGGCTGTGGATGTAACTCAACGGTAGAGCACTTACCTTGCATGTGCAAGGCCTTGGGCTCCAGCCCCAACATTCAGAAGAAAAAAAGTTCAAGTGAGAAACAGGTTTCATCATCATCTCCATTACCACTGTATTCTATAAATGGCCCCTTGTTACAATTACCAAAGAAGTGGCATGTTGAGGGTATAGGTAGTACCGGCCTTTGTGAAGTCAGCCTATGATATGAGTAATCGAGCTTACAGTAGAGTTAACCCTGATCAGTAGGTGTAGTGCTATTCACAAAACAGTCACTTTTTTGGTCTTTACTTGCAAATCTAGAGATAGCATCGACAAAACTTCCAGGTATAGGAAGTGGAGGAACCTGAATGGATCTTTTGAAAGTTACTGCAATTTGGGATGAATGTGTGCCAGAAAGAGAGAAACAAAGATGGGGATCTGGCTTTAAAGGAGGCAGGAAACAGGTAGGTGAGAAGCAGGGTTTTCCTGAGCACCCAGAATGCTCCATGCTAGGGTAATGGATGACAGGGACAGCTTGAAGGTGGGGAAGCTGCCAGGAAACTTGATGGCAGGAACAGATCACATAGGACTGAACAACAGCTTTTAGAGAATCTCTGAGTGCCAGATTAGGGGATTTTTTTTTTTGTGTGTGGGCGCTTTAGAATTGTATTATTATTGTATATACGTATGATATAGGGATGGAGCACGCACCACCTTTATGTGGGTTCTCAGAATCAAACTCAGCTCATCAGGCTTGCATAGCAAGTATCTTTACCCACTGAGCTATCTCACTGGCCCAAAAGCACACTGCTTTAAAAATGTCAATGAATCACATACATGTTTTCCACAAGTAATTAGAATTTTTCTGTCTCCAACTAAAAGCTTTAAGAAAAATTTAAAAATTGTCAATGAACAAAAGTCATCTCATCAGGAACCTTCAAAGGAACAAGTTCTTTAAAGTAAGCTAGAAAATTAACATTGTTAGTGGCTCAAATGTATAGAAGCACAATCCTGGCCTGCCTGTTTTCTGGACAGTGTGCTGCTGGTATTTAAAAGAAACTTGCTTGGAAGAACAGCACCACTTCCTTGGTTGGTGTCTGAAAGGCACTTGCGCATATTTTCACTTAGGAAGTTGACTCCAAGATGGAGGACAACCCTGACCATTCCCTCATCCTGAATGGCCCAAAGCCTGGATTTCAGATGCTACCCAGTTACCATCAAGACAGTCCACTCATTCTACAGCCTGAACACATGAACAGGTTTTCAAAAAACTGATTCCATGTTGCCCATCTCCAAGCACACCATCTTTAGCTGTGAATAATACTCGATCATCACCCGGTTGTTCTCTCTGCCAAATCCTGACTTCTTATATCCCCAAAGGGCAACTCCACTGGGCTGACATTATAGTTGTTAATGTAGCAAGTTCCAGCCTGAAACTTGGTTGCCACCCTGTGAGCCCACTGGATGTCCCTGGTAAAGATACCAGCTGCTAGTCCAAAAGTGGTATCATTGGCCTGCTCCAGGACCTCGGCTTCAGTGTCAAATGATAAAATGGACATAACTGGCCCAAAGATCTCCTCTCTCACACAGGTCATGCCATCTCTGCAATTAGTTAAAATGCAAGGTATCATGTAATATCCTTTTAATCTGGGATCCTTGGGTCCATACAGCTCTCTACCACATAGCACACTAGCACCTTGCTCCTTTGCCAATTTAACAAACCCAAGGACTCACTCCAGATGTGGGCAGTTGATGAGTGGACCCATCCTCGTATCTTCCAGGAGGGGATCTCCAAGTTTTATCTTTTGGGTCTGCTTCACAACTTCTTTTGTAAATTTATCAATAATTTCCTTTTGTACAAATGCCCCTGTGCCATTACAGCAAACCTGGCCTTGCATGAGGAAGTTGGCCATCAGTGCCCCTTCACAGCATTCTCCATATTACGATCTGAGAAGATGATTAGAGGGGATTTGCCCCCAAGTTCCAAGGTAACAGGTTTGATTCCTTTGGCTGACATCTCCATGATCTTCATGCCAATGGGCACACTTCCAGTAAAGGAGACCTTGGCCACATCTTGATGCTGACACAGAAACTGGCCTGTGGCAGCCCCACCTTGCACCACATGCTGAAGAGCCCAGGAGGCATGCCAGCTTGGGTGTAGATCTCAGCCAGGAGCAAAGCAGACACAGGGGTTATGGGAGAAGGCTTAAAGATCATGGTATTACCAAAGGCTAAAGCTAGGGCTGGTTCTCTTCTGGTATAGCCAAAGGATCCTTCTGGGAGCTGGATGTGTTCACCTGCCATGGATGCAGCCAGGTCTGCATAGTACTCCAGGCACTGCAGGCAAGTGTCAACATCCAGCCGGACCTCAAAGGTGGACTTGCCATTGTTGATGGTCTCCACAGCGGCAATTTAATCTTTCCGCTCCTCTATTATCCGGGCAGCCTCTAAAAGGACTTGGCAACCCTCCCTGCCACATTTTTAACTCCATATTTTGAAGGCAGCCTTTGCATTTTCAACAGCCAAACTTACTTCCTTTTCTCCGGAACATGTGAAAGTAGTCATAACTCGGTCTATGGCCAGTTCAAATGTCTTCTCCTGTGCCGGAAGCGTCCACTGGCTCCACGCGGGCCCCGCCACAGTAGTTAACGGCTGCGTCTCTACGAAGGTGCTGTAGTGGCTACCGCAGCAGGCGAGGGAGAACGGAGGAGTGTAGTCAGCGCAGCCCCAACCGCCCGTAGGAGCATCTGTTACATGCTCCAGAGTGGACCTCGATGGAGGGGATGGGGTTTTGTAACAGGCCAGATAATAGATCAGGTTAGGGTCACCTTCAGAGAAGAGCAAACTGAATATAAACCCCACTGTAACAACACACACTTGGACTGATCCCTTAATCTCTTGACTGTCTGTCTCCAGTTCCAATAAACTGGGGTTATAATACCTAAATTGGAAAATGAGGGTCATAATACCTAGGCTTATTAAGAGAATTAGATGGGAACAACTGAAGAGCAGCGTGTAAACACAAAGGAGGTCCCCTGTCTCAGATTAGTTCACTTTCCAGAAGAGCTGCAGGAATGCAAATACACAGGCAAACGTGATAAGTGCAAAACCCAGATTAAGAGCTAACTAAGGACCCACCCGGCTCTCCAGCTCTTTTCCTTAAGGCTTTATGGCTTCCCAGGCATGAGACAAATTAACCCAACAACTGCTGGGGAAATTTCAACACTAAGAGAGACTGGAAGCTCTTTTTGGTCGTAGATGTTGGAATGCCATTTTTGCATCCCTTCAGAAAGCAACATGAAAGTCTTGTGGAAACTCCACCTTCGTCTGAGTGGGTGCACCAGGCCTGCCTCCAGCTTCTTTCATGAGTAGCTAGCAAGAGGGCGCCTCTCTGAAGTGGGAGATTGACATGCTGAACCTCGACCCCAAAGGAAGCACTTCCTTGGACCATTTTCTTATGGATGTTCCTCCAGAAAGTTCCTGCAGGTGAGGCACTGTAGAATTTATGTAGGATCCACACGGCACAAATACCTGAGAACTTACAACTCCGCCCCGAAACCCTATAGTTATTCCACCCTGATTGAGAGATGATATTTTTGCTACTGCTTGGGGAATGTAATGTATTACCCTGCATCCAGGGAGTTAAGACATAAAATGATGAGTGACAAATTGATCCCTAAGCTGCTATGCCCAGCATCTCTCCTTCCTTGTGCTGCACCCCCTCTATGGTGGGACTTGTCATACTGGGTTTTCTCTGATGACATGCTGGTGTCCCTCACAAGCTCCTTGGGGGTACACAGACCATGAAGGATTTGTCTTTGCGACTATCTCAGAGCCAGCATCATCCACTGAGATGGAATGATGTGGCAGGCACTAAATAAAAATTTAAGGCAGCAGTAAATGGATAAAAGGAAAGCCAAATTACAGTACAATGGAGTTTTGCTGTAATTTGCTTTGTACTAACATTTATACTCAAATAAAATGTCAAGAGAGCAAAGCCTCTGAATCCAAGTCTTACCCAGTAGGATAAACGTAGGCACTCTACTAATTTTAGACAACATTTTAACACTAAAACCGTTCTCTTCCAGGCTGCCTGGGTTACTCTCTTTTAATTTAACTGTAATTGCTGTAAGGACAGAAGCTCCAGGGCACTTGTCATGTTGGCCACAGAAGCTAGCAGAGCACTGAGCACATAGCAGACACTTGGTAAGTATGTGTTGATAGGTCTGAGGGTTTGGTCAACATTCTACACTGCAGAGTCACCCTCTGGATGACTCTTCCTAGAAGGACCTCCTCACAGGAATGCTTTAGCAAAGCCTGTGAAGGAGCTCTGTGGTACAGTAGTGTGGCAGGCAAGGTCTGAGCCCTCTGAGCACAGGGAGGCACAGAGCATCTCCAGCGAAGAGGTTCATGTTCAGGGGACTTGTTCCAAAGCAAATTCCTTTCAACTACACAAGCCTTAAAATGGAAGATAAGCAAGAGCTAAGAACTTGGAAGGCTGCATAGTGTGCTGCGTACAAATAAATAGAAGCTTAAAGTTGGTATCTGCCCCCCAGGGAGCTGGAAACAGTCCACACATCTATCTATCCACAACATCTTTCAACCCAGAGGCTAAGAACCAGCTGGCAAAAAAGGTCTCTGCACTGTGTGGCAAACATCACCCGTCACCTTCAAGAGAGCATCAGCAACACTGACTGCTTAAGGCATTTGTTTCTAGGAGAGGGTAGATAGACTCATTTATGACAGTTCTTAAAAAAGAATTTTATATACTATTGTGCTTGTGAGAGTACATCATGTGTGTAGGGAGTAAGGGCACCTGTGCATCAGTGCTAATATGAAAGTCAGAGGACAAGTTTTGGGAGTCAGTTCTCTTCTTCCATCATTACGTGGGTTCTGGGGACTGAATTCAGATCACCAGGTTTATAGAGCAAGCACCTTTATGTACTGAGCCATCTTCTTGGGCCTGATTTTAAAAATTTTTTCTGTCACTTAATGTTGAGAGATGTTTATTTAAATAGCACTGAATGTAGGTGATTAAAGAATTAAAGAATACATCAAATATACATGGCTGGAGAAGTCATAGATCCTAGAGAAAACCCTATCTCTGTCATGTCTGTAGACAAATGGACTTTCTTACTGAACGCTAAATATGGATCCTTAAATTTACAGACAAGTATACCATTCACCACTCATCAAAGAAGCTTCTTTTTGCACAGATGGAGGCTACTACAGAGTTCCAGAACTGGTCACACACAGAGAGTATGTGTTTGAGAGATGTCCAGCCCTAAGGAGCGTATAGACAGTGGAACCTCTACATCTAACGCTCATGGAACATAGCAGAGCAGGGAGTAGAGAGAATACTAATACATCCCTCAACTCTCACCAGTGAAGCTTCCTCATGTAACAGTACGATGCACATAGAAGCTACAACTGGCCAAGGTATAGAGAATAAAAGGCTTTAGAGTACATATTCCTGGATAGGACTCCTATATTCAACCTCACCCACCTAGGCGCAGGGACCATTGCAGAAGAACGTTGGAAAGATTATAAGAGCCAGGGTTGGTGCATGAACATAGGAAACATAGAGTCTTCTAGGCCTCTGGGAACTTGCTCATATGAACTTGCAGCAATGGTGTCAGCATGCACAGACCCATGCAAACTCAATCAGACAAAAATAGAGCATAGAACTGAGGAAATGGATAAAAGGCTCCGATCTTAGTCGAGGAACTATTAGCAACTGATTACTGCTGGGTGAGAGTTGATCTTCTTTTATGGAGAGACGCTAGATAGGCTGACTAGACTCCAGTGAATAAACTTGCACCTATGGGCATCTGGTTACAAAAGCTCGATTCAATAAGTCTTAACATATATGACAGAATGCTTGAAATCTGGTGGGGGAGGATATGGGAGTGCAGATAGGGGAGGGGGGTCTAAATATGAGTAAGATTTATTGTGTAAAATGCACAAAAATTCAATTAAAATATCATTAAAAAAAGAACTAATAAATGAAAGGTGCTCACTTTGGCAGCACATATACTAAAATTAAAATGATACAGAGATTAGCATGGTCCCTTTGCAAGGACAACATGAAAATTAGTGAAGCATACCATATTTTTTAAAAAAGGACCATGAATCAGTTCTGATCTTATAGTGCTAGTGGCTGAGGACAGTTGGGTGCTCAGGGCTGGGAGGGTTGAAAGATGAGCAAGGGCACTGTGGCACATTTGGAAAGTTCTTCCCTAAGTGAAAATAAACTGGGGGTCAAAGGAGCTCTCTCACTGGACATGGTGGCACACATCTAAAATCCCAGCATAGGGGAGACTGAGGAAGGAGAATAGATACCTGGAGGCCAGTGCAGGCTACATGTGAGAATTATCAAACACACACATCAAAAAAAAAAAAAAAAATGATGACTCTCTCTAAACCAGAAACCAAGCTCTCAAAAGTTCAAAGAAGAGAATCTTTTTTGTCCTTATAGTGATGGGATAGAGCCTAGGGCCTTACATAGGCTGGGTACGTGCTCTGCCACTGAGCTGCACCCTCAGCACAAGACTCCTGAATTAGCTGGCAAGCTTCTTTTGACTAAATTCAGATCTATTTACACCTCACTAAGGAAACTGTACTCTCTCTCCAAATGTTGATGCAATCTAACCTCTTACTCTTGTGTTGTCCTTTTCTTAAAAGGAAGGCCCATGTGTCCAAAGTCAGAAAACCAGCTTTTAGAAACTGACTGTTGTTACTCTGGGCTTTCCAAGATATTTTAATAGTCAGTCACTTCCATGCCCAATGTTTATAGGATAAACAGAAATGAATGTGTCCCTTATTCACAGAAAGTTCTGGTGCCTGTGGACAAACATGTACCGACCTCTAGCATTCCTATGAAGGTCAAGAGAGTACTTTCAGGGAGCAGCCCTTCCTAAACCAGATGGCTCTGTCACAGTGCCTCTCTGGTCTTTCTCAGGAGTCTCGTAAGAGAGATACTTTCTTTTAAAAAATGTTTATTTCCATCTTGGTCTAAGTATTCTGATCTTGAATGCTAATATTGAACTTGGAGACATTTCAAGGAGGTGAATTACAACAAAGAGCTCTGAGTGCTCAATTATGCCCCAGTAGTGCTGTAACTTGGCTAATTTCCACAAAAGGCTATTTAAAGCTCAGAGCATCCTCAGTGAACACCCAAGGCTTTCCTGAGAGGCCGCAGTATAGAACAAGCCAGGTAGCATTCAAGAGTTTTTAGCAAGCAGATTCAATGTGACTGTGAAATGAAGCTGCAGACAAGTTTTTCTGATTGCGGACAGACGCCACTCTGAAGAGACCATCCACACCTACCAGTGAATCGAATTGCTCTCTCGGGCAGGCAAACAGGCGTCCATTAATGGTGAGCGTCGTAAATACTGAAACATCATTAGGTTTGAGCACCACCTTTTCTGTGAACATAAAAAGCATGAGATTGCCTATTAAATACATCTGAGATTTGCCAAGCTGCCCTAATCACACCAACAAATTGCTAGCTCCGTGAATTACTGGAACACGCAGAGTGACTGCATAAAATATGGGACTGAAGGGACTCACTGAATTAAAAAAAAAAGAGAGCTTTCACACAGTCACACAACACTCAGGATGCCATCAGAAATGACCTGCAACTGTATTTATAAACCCTGCACATCTATTTATATAGCAAGTTAGGTTTCTTGATGGTAGCAATGCCTGGCGCTTTGGAGATGGAAAGAACAATTTTAGAAAACTTGGGGGGAGTGTTTCGGAGATCCCACATGATTTTAGCTGCAAAATGTGTTTTTTTTCACTTATTCCCTAATTTGGAAGAGAACAAGAGCAACTAGATTAAGCTTCTTTCTCTATTTTATAAATTAGTTTACTGAATAAATATTTGTTTAGCATTTGCTAAATGGCAGACAGTAAGGTCGCATAAGGGAACAATAAAGAAAAAAAATCCAGGTGCAAAAGAGGTCTCAGTGTAGAGAGATGCAGATCATGAACACGATGCATATATTAGAGAGAGGGGATAGAGGCCACAAAACAGCAGGGAAGAGAGTTAGAGTATGTGTCAGAGGAGAGGGCCATCAGGAAAGGGCAGGGGAAGGTCTTAGCCACACACTGTCATTTGAGTGAGGATCTAGAGGATCAGAATAGCCATGGGAAGGGTGTGACAAATCTGTCACAGAGGACAGACACTCTGGGTCTGGTACAACTGGGGCAGAAGTGGAAGGAGAGATCTTGAGAATCTGTTATGCATTTTTAAATCCTGTATCAGTGGAATCACCTGTTTTTATACAGGGCAGAAAATGGTTCACTCCAATCCTGAAGGATCCCCCTCAAACAGCTGTGAAGCTATCACTGGGGAATTATCCTTATGACTCTTTCCTGAAGCCTCTCATTGCAGGATGGGTGACTTCTGCTCAAATCCCTGCCAGCATGGGGTGCAGGTGTTCACTTACTTTCTACCTCCTCCTGGCCTGGAACAACTCAGAGACATAGGCTGTGTCTAAGTCACCCTTTTCTGTTAGTTACATATGTAGTCAGGGCATACGGGATGATAAGTAAATGGTATTTCAGGAAGTATAATCAGGGACAATGAAAGAAATTTTAATCTAGGGCTGGGGTACTCCTTATGCTCTCAGACAGGCTGAATTCCTGCCCTCTCTGCTAGGTAGGGAGGGAACTGTCATCAGTTGAAAACAAGTCCTCAACTGTCCCCAACTTCAGGTTTGCAGGCATCTGGAGTCTTAGGTGTCAAGCTTACATGCACGGCCCTCTAGGCACACATTTCTCGGGGACCTTAAGCCTGAGAGTTTTCTTTTCTATGATTTCCACTGAAAAAGCTCCAGGATTCTATCTATGCCAGAGCCTCCAGTTCCAGCTGCCTCACATAAATCCCTTCCCTTCTCCCTCCTTTGCAGCAGAGACCTATGAGAGAGGGACTGTTAGGTACTTTGTGAGCCTTCCTCGTCCATATTTCTGCTATCCCTGGGAGCTCACACAGCCCAAGCCATTTTTCTGGGTCAGCCTAGAATGGTACTGCTAACTTCTTGCATGGTTTCTGTTGGATGGGATGGCTCATTTTGCAAAAGCCCCACATGCTAATCTAGGTTGTTACCTCCTCCGGAGCTCATCTTGACTATGATCAGGCCTTCTCCAGAGCCCAGTTTGTCAGCCACTGCACTGATGACTTCCTTTACTGAGGCGGCCACGGGCACCCGAATAGTGGTGTAGGTATGGTCCATGCAGTAGACCTTAAACAAAACTGAGCAAAGATAGTTGAAGATGTGGGAAAATGGTCTGGGGAGTTCAAAAGAAAACCACAAGCTATGCATAACAGTTACACGTCCTTCCCAGTTTGCGTCATCTTGCCACTCTTACTGATGTTTATTTGTCCACATCTGTGCCTATGGTGGTTCCCTTCTAAAACTGCTTACCTTAGCACTGATCCCAGAATAGAAGCACAAATGGCTGCCACTCCCAATTTAGAAAAACAACAAACAGGTATTGATGGTGAAAAGCCCATAAATAGGTCATGGGAAAAAATGAGAAATATGCTTAGGCTGATGTTCTGGGTTTGCCCTTCTCCACAGCCTTTCTTTCTCACAATAGGGGAAGTACCATATTCTGGGCTGATTACTAGATTGCTGCTCCCTGGCAAGGCAGGGGAGCCACCATTAACACCTCTGCATGCTTGGCTGCTTTTCCTGGAGGCGGTTAGTCTGATATCCTGGCTCTCTGGGTACTGGCTTGTTGCTTGTTGCTGGGGGCTCAGCAGGCTGCTAAAAGGCTCCCCCATGCTCAGCTCTGAACCCACAAATCCTTCAAGCAATCCAACTACTATAAATTCTTGGGTTAGGAGACACTCCTGGATCATAAAACTCATGTGGCTTAAAATAAAAATGTTATCTTTATGAATATTTATAGTCGTGATTCCTTTGAGAAATCTTGGGCAACCAAACAACAAATGTTAAAATCTTTACCTCAGTGAGTGCTGCTAAAAAGGCCATGATCAGGGCCTGAGCATGTTCCCTGCGGGGGTCCCACCTTCACCTGGGTACTCACAAAGTGACAACCTTGACAACCAGGCCCTGAGAGAACCCACATTTCTTCAAGGGATGGTGACAGCTGGGGAGAGGCAGGCAGGGATATGTGGGCAAGTACTTCACCTTTGCCTGGGTGCAAGGCTCCAAGAACATAAACAATCAGAATACAAAAGGGAACACCCGAGAGCAGCTTTTCTGAGGGTTCAGGGTGATGATTTCCAGGTGGCAAAGTTTCCCCTGACTATTAATATTCCACATAAGAGATGTCTCACCCTCAGGGCTGGAAAAATGGCTCAGCGGTTAAGAGTGCTGACTGCTCTTACAGAGGACAGGGGTTCGAATCCCAGCACCCACATGGTGGCTAACAACCATCCATAACTCCAGTTCCAGGGGATCTGATACCCCCTTCTGATCTCCGTGGACACTGCATGACATGGGTGCACTCACATACATGCAGGCGGTACACTCATACACATAAAAATAAATAAATAAATAAAATATTTTTAAAAAGAGATGTTTCACCCTCATCAGAGCCACGGATCGGCTGGCGCTTCTGGGCCCTCTCGTCACTTGTGTTGAACTGCTGCAAAAGTACTTTGTGCTGTAAAGACAATAACCACAGCAAATGACGTAAGAGGGGCTGACCAACACACACTAACAACCCAGGAAAGAGGCATCTGAGAAACTGCCAGGACCAAGAAATGAAGCAAATACATTTTGTGTGTACAAAGAAGACATCACTTGAATATAGTATAAGACTTTTGGGAAATTATGCTACACGATACAGACAGCACATGATTCTGAATTGATGCCCCTTACCTTCCTTTGGGGAGCCTTTGCATCTTCAGAGCTACAAGAAACAGAGAAAGCACATTATTTAATACCATTGCTACTGTTCGTTTAGATTAAGCCAATAGTCTTATACTAGGCAGTGAAGTCATGAATATCTTTGAGCAGCAATGGGAGCCTCCCTCATTTTAACTCTAAGAGGCCCAAACACAGGGAGGCAGCAAAGTGACACTAGCTCTTGTCACAGGTGAAGCCTGAGCAGAATTGAGGTCAAATGTCTGAATTTCTAGCTTTCAAAGTAATTCTCATAATGTGCTCCCTCGCTAGTATTTAATCTACAGCTCATTAACAGCATGGAAGACTCCCTTTTCACCAAGAGGACACAAATATTTGCAATCAATAGCTTTAGCAGCAGTGAATTTTTCATATAAATAATTGCCTTCAAATCTTCTTGAACTTCCATTGACCATTTATTGCTATGTTCCTTGCTTTGAACCTAAGGGACCCATGTCTGTGGAACTGGACCTCCCAAAAGGCAAGCTCCCCCTTGGTAAGCTTTTCAGTACAGAAGGCAGCTGAACCCTTCCAGGTCCTTCTACTAATCTGGCTTTATAGCCACCTGTGGCTGGGGTCCATCACACAAATCAGAACACAGTGTGGCTAGTGAAAGACCAGCTTTAGTCCTCTTTTTTTTTAGGCAAGGCACTTTTTGGAAGATCTCTGACCATGAGGCAGGCATTTACTTGGTGAAAGGACACCCCAAAGTCAAGCCCTCCTTACATTTGCTTGACGATCTTCTCTAGGTCTGGCAGCTGCTCCTTGAAGGCAGCCATCACTCGGGCATCATCTGATACAGACACGTAAAACTCCTGTAATTGGGAAAGGTCAAAGGGTATTTAACAAGAGCTGCAAGGAGCGCATTTCTACAGAGAGCAATAAATACATTGTCCTGTGCAGTGAACTTCACTGGCGTCCTCAGACCATGGTTTCACAGAAGGAAAGATGATGAGGATGAAGAGGAGGAGGAGGAGGACAAGAGGAAGTTATACATTTACATTCAAAATTGGAAAAGGGAAAAAGATCTGGAAATAGATAATGGCAATGAAATGACCACTACGAAATTACACACTTTAAAATGCCTAAAATAATACATTTGTGTTAGGTATATTCTACCACAATGAAAGTAAAAAACTTCCAATGAATTTATTTACATACTTATGTGAAAAACCATGAAGAACAATGTTTTAGAACAGGTCGTTTTATAATCTATACTTTTTCTTTTTGGTCTTTTTGAAACAGGGTTTCCCTATAGCCCCAGCTAGTCTGGCACTTACTATGTAGACAAGGCTGGCCTTAAATTCACAGAGATCCACCTGCCTCTGCCTCCCAAGGGCTGGAACTAAAGGCATGTGCCACCACAGCCAGCATAATCTGTACTTTAAGAGCATTTTTAGATCTTTTTTTTTTCAGGGAAATTAATATTCATTTTTGGTATTACTTTAGTATTTGATGTTATTTAATATTTACCACCAGTGTGGTTAATTGTTGGTGGTACAAATGCAACACTGAACTGAGTTTATACTGGGCTTGGGCCACCATCCTAAGACTGTTGCTGATGTTCTAGAGCTGTGCTGATATCCTAGCACCAGAAGCAGCTGTGCCCTGTGTCCCTCAGAAGCAGTGGCATCCACAGCAGGCTATGAAGACCGTGGCAGTAGAGGCTTCACCAGTGCCTTGTTTCACTGGTACAATGGCCTTGCACTCACCTGGGAGGGACTTCAGTGAACATGTGACCCCAGGCTACCCTCTTTCTTAATCTCAAAATCATTGCTCCATAGTCTTAAGGGACCCCCATAGTCCACTTTCCCTCCTGCCTCACCCAAGATGACACAAGTGAAAAGGAGGCAGGGCGCATGTTTCTTTTGGAAAGTTAAGTTTAGAGAAAACAGACTGTAAATTTTGAAACGGGGCCTCATGGCCTTCCACTTGCACAGAAGTAAGGCTCTCACTGAGTTTTGGAGAACCAAAGCGGGGGACTACTTAATGCAGTGCTAAAAGTAAATGGCCATGCTGCAGTGAGCCAAGGGAAGGAAAAGGGTAGCTGAGCTACATATAATGTTTACTGAGAAAGCAATGTTCCTTTAGAACTACCTTGTGCTCTGTAATTCCTCACTAAAATGATCTACTTTGTGCCACTCAAACCCACTTGCTATTTGTCCTACTGATCCTACTTCTAAGAAAAGTAAAGACAAAAATGTTCACTGCACAATTATTCCAGGAAGGAGAAAACTGGAAATGGCATAAATACTGACTAGTATGGGCACAAACAAATATATCTGTGGCACAGCTACTGACCAATCCTCAGAAATTTTTATTACAAAGACCAACCTGATATGGAAAATCCTGATATAGCTAAGTAGACAAAAGCAACCTACAACATGCTGGGTGCTACTGTGATTACAACTCTAGAAAACACACAAAATGAGAGCAGCTTTTCTCATTGCAATGCTACCACTTACTGAATTAGAGTGGCAGAATAGTGAGTGACGCTTTCTTTTTCTCATAGTACCTTTCTGACAGTGAACATGTTGACAGGTCTAGAACTGGCAGTTACAGTGTCTACAGAATTTGCTGGACATCCCTGCATTGTGGGATGGGGGTTGGGGGGGTATTCTTGGAAGGGATGACCCCCAAGTACCTCCAGGAAGGCCATGGCCACGTCATCCTCTTGAAGGAGGTCTCCATACGTGGCAGCCCACTGTAGAACCAGGCGGATGACTCGTCTCTTGTTGTTGAGAGCATAATCCATTCTCTCCTGTTCTGTACCTTGAGAAGGCTGTGCGTGGTAAGTGCTAAGGAGTCAAGGAAGACACGGAGCCATTTCCTACCCATTTCACTGCACTACTTGCAAAGGCAGTGAGTTACAGATCCTAGCTTCAGACTGATGAAATGTCTCCTATAGGTCCTCAAGGAAACTTCCCATAATAGAGGGTCTCAACCACAAGCAATCTCTTGGTGACTCCTGCTCACTTTGACCTGAGAGTTAGTCGAAGAAGTAGACTGCAGACCTCACATAGACTAACGTGTTGACAGGGGTGCCTGTAGGGTCTAGTTCTAGCTCTCAGTCTCTGCCTGTCCTCTACCCTATCCTTCACTTCTCAGGGTATTAATGTGACTTGCCATTTCTTGTCTCTTGGTGTCTTTCCACCTCCTTCTGGATCCCAAAATTCTATCCACATCTCTACAATCCCTTTCTTTACATGCATTTCAGTTCAACTCTTCTGGGTGGGTACCTCATTCTGCCGGGACTATCACTAATATAATCTTGCATGAGCAAGCAAGGCTGAAGGCAGATAAATTCACACTGCACTAGGAAGGGGAGGATTCTTGCTGAAACTGTTTCTGGTGAGGGCTCCAGACCCTCCTTATACCATATCTTCCTCCCCTGTCTAGAGCTACAGGCTACTTATCGTTCATGTCAATTTGTGATCTTGTGGCTAGCCATATTGATCACATGCCTGTTGAGGTTTGGGTGACTTATGCTCTATACTATGCCTAGCACCATAACTTCCATACAAAATTCTTATTGATTCATCAAGAGAACTCAACACTTAGTTAAGTGTTTAATATGCGTCAAGAGTAAAGGGCCCCTGCACTCACTGACACTTCTGTGAAGACAAAACAGAAGTAGTTTGGACACACATTTCCCTTTTCAGTTACTTATAGTAGCTCATATTATAAACACTTTATTCATAAAACACCTTAGTATTTACCATTTACTAACACACAAAAAGAACCTCAATGAAGCTCTAGTTTATAGTCATGTGACGAAACTGTTGTTTCCTTTCTACAAGTGAGCATCCCAACACAAAAGAAACATCAAAGGCTATGATTACCTAGTGAGAGCGCACAGTTGATTTTGAGTCCATGACTCCTGACTCCAACTACTTTTGTTCCCACTGTACAACATTCCTGAGCCTCAGCAAGCTGCAAGACTGGCCACGTCTTAGCTTACTACCATGACTTAAAAGGCACCACAGAAACTGCCTTGTGGCAGTGCTGTACTTGAGAGCAAAACCAGTAAAGGGCCTTTTCTGAAAGGACTATAAATAATCATGATCAAGGTAAATGACAGAACCTTAAAGCAAAGGTTTACTGCATGTAAATGGGTTGCAAAATGGCTTTCATAAATTGAGCACAAGATTCATAAAAAAGAAAATTGCTCAACCTGTATTGCTACAATTCTCTCTGAGCTTACAATAAAAAAAGGAAGAAAGATCACTTTATGTGAAAATTATTTCTTTTCTGATTAACCCTTTGGTCTCTTGCTTATATTTATGCATAACTCAGTTTTTCTTCCTAAAGCATTACAATGCTGGGATCGCGTTTTATGACTGCTTCTTACAGCAGGCAGCCCACTGTCAGGCATGCAGAGTGTTGATTAACATATAGAAGCTGGCTCAACTGCGACTTGGAGGATCTGGGCTTGAGTCCTTTTGCTACTGCTATCTACAACCATGATTTGGAGTGAGAACTGCAGACTTCTGTTTGCTTACCTGTGGAATGGGGAAGTAAGATGAAATAGTTTCCAGCTTCCTTTCAGACAATCATAGTTAATAACCAGAATGTAAGGTTGATCTAAAGAGAAGCAGGCACCACTAACAAGATAAAAATAAGCTGCGTTTCCATGGAGTTCTCTTTTGAAAAATTTTATAGCAACTTGCATTTTGTGTGATGCTATGGTTTCAATATCGTGTGTCACCACCAAAATTCATGTTGAGATTTTAATTCCTCAATACAACAATACTCAGAGGTAGCATCTTTATGAGAGACTAATGTCTTTCTTGAGAGACTGTGTTAGTTCTCTTGGGAATGAACTGATTCTTGCTAGGGTGATTGTTGTCTAGGTGTCTGCTGGCTCCTTCTTTGCACAGCCCATTTGCTATTCTGCTTGGAACAGCACAAAGCCTTCAGCAGAAGACAAGGAAGTATGACTACCTCACCTTGAACTCCAAGTCTCCAGAACTGTGAGCTAAATAAACCTCTTTTCTTTATAAATTATCCAGTGTCTAGTGTTCTAGTACAACAACAGAAAATGGACTGAGACATGGAAATGTAGAACAGGCAAGTACTTTTTCATCACATTTCTTTTTTTGAATCAATAGTGAAAGAAAGACTAGCTAAGATAGAGACAGGGATGAGGGCTTAAGAACATCAGCCTTGATAAGTGTGAGGCAGTAAATTATGAAATCTGAATACAATATGTTTTAAAGCCTTTGTGAGGCCAGGCTCTGAGTACATTCCCCACACCAGCTGTCCTTGACTATGCTGATGCTACTCTGGGTTGAACCTGTGTTCTTCAGTCTTACCCCTCATTCTGGACCTCTATCTATGCTTCTCTAGACCCAAGTGATAATGTCTATGAAAGTCATCTTTCTGATATCATACACTGTGAAAGTGTGTAAATATTCTTGACCATGTCATATCAACTTAAAAACAATATCACATTGTACTGTAATTTATTTTATAGACTAAGGTCTTAAAAACATTTTATTTACATATGAGGTATGACATTGAATGAATCACTTGAAGATAGTGATGTCATCCAAAGGAAATGGAAGTTTATACTGAGCTCGTGTACAGAGTAGGAGCCTTCACCAGAAGTTTGGGAAAACCACCTCAAGATGGAGCAATGAAAGTGCTGATTTGGTTTTTCAGAGGCAAATGTATTTTAAAATACATAATTTTTTTAAAACTGCAACTAGTTTTACAAGTATATGGGCAAAGAAATCATTCAAATTGATTCAGCCATTAATAAAGATGCCACACAGAGTAAGGTACATTGCTCAGTGGTGGTGAGACAATGGATCTGGCTCCTATCTCTTGAAATACTTCACTGGGCGATATGTTGAGATGGAGGGGGAAGGACTGCAATGCTTTCCTAGTTGTATGATGCTGGTATGGTTCAAAACACTGAGTTTGTATTGAGGATATTTAATTCTAATTTTCCAGACTTGGACTGAAGTAGTAGGGCAAACACTTAGGTATTCGACCACAGTATCAGTAGTTCATCTGTAGCTAAACTACAGGGGCATAAGATCAGGTAATGAAAGCTATATTGTCTCTGTATGTTGGGACAAAGGTTTTTCTTGCCCTCTTTTTTGATGTAGAAATTTGTTTTTTGTCTACAACAAATGATAGACTAACTAGTTGGACAGATTGCTATGATAATGCTCCAAATGTGGGTAGAGTTTTAGAGTTTATGAAACACTTTTGATATGCTCATACAATCATATACAGATAATGTTCCCTACAAACCTGAGGAAATATTTACAGATGAAGAAACTGAGGTTCAGAGGGAGATCTGCCCCCAAATGCTCAGAGAGTTAACAATGGGGTTTACAAAACCAGATATGGCTCTTTCCATGCCCACAATCCGAAATAGCAGCAGTAGAGTCTCAACACTAGAGTTTGCCTCCTAAGATTACTAAAAATAATTGCGCTGGGGAAACAAAACTCTTACTTTGAGAATCCTTTCCTCCTTTGTTCATTTCCTCTTTTCTTCTTCCTCCATAATTCAAGTTTCCTAGAGTGACCTCAAGCCAGGGCTGGAAAACCCCAGAGCCTCCTGACAGACAGGACTGACCATAGCCAGAGACACCACAAGAGGTTCCTTCATTTTCTCATGAAAGCTAAGGATGTCTTTCCCCTTTGGGAAAATTACTGATTTATTTCACAAAGTCTGCCCTTCCCTCTTACAGATGTTTATTTACTAAACTGACCTGGGGTAATATTATTTTTATAGTTGAGTCCCCCTGCCTGTATAGTTGAATACATGAAGCTTCTGCCTTTCTATAGGCAATATCCTGAATGTCTGTGAAATCAGATATGTGTGTGTGTGTGTGTGTGTGTGTGTGTGTGTTGTTAAGGTTCAGATAGCCCTGCCACCTCATCAACAGGGTCCCAAGGACTTCTCATGATCCTGAGAAAAGGGAACCTAGCTGATAAGGGCCCTGGTCTTTGAAGTCAAGAGAAACAGACTTTTCTCCATTGTCTCAACCATCGAGGACCCTGTTGAGATGCATGAAGAGGGAACCCCTGCTGTCTGACCAATCCCTAATCCAGCACCCCCATGTCGACCCTGTCCAGCAGGAAGTAGCAAGACGACAACGGCGCCCCCATCCTATAACACAAAAGGCTGGAATGTTAAGGTTCAGATAGCCCTGCCCCCTCACCAACAGGATCCTGAGGACTTCTCATGCTCCTGAGAAAAGGGAACTTAGCTGATAAGCACCTTGGTCTTTGAAGTAAAGAGAAGCAGACTTTTCTCCACTGTTTGGCCAACACAGCAGGCTTCCCCTTTGATCTCTAAAGAGAACAGGTTTTAACAGTCCCACTCTCCCCCTCCCCCAACTTAAAAAAAATACATCTTCCCGCCTTCTGCAGGAAGCAGAAGCCTCCCTTTTTTAAAAAAGACCCCAGCTCACGACCTGGGGCAGACATTTTCCCTGCCTGGAAGGGAATCTGTCCCATGTGTTCCTTTGCTAATAAACTGTGCTTTCTCTTGATCAACCTTATTCATCATACGGCAGCTTTCTATCAGATGGTGCCAAAACCCGGTTCTTATTTCAAGGGACCCGCCTGGACTTCTCCAACGCCACTAACTTGGCTTTCAGGTACACTTCTTTTCTCTCTCCTCCTCTCCCCAGCCCTCTGCTTTGCTCTCACCTCTTTCTGGCTCTCCTCACTGTAAACACTCTGCCTTGCCTACTTCTTTTGATCTCCTTTCCCATTGATTTTTACCACTCCTGGACAGCACTGTGTTCTCCATGATGGACCTGCTTCATCC